ATATATATATATATATATATATATATATATATATTGTATAAAAAGGCACGCTCATCACCATTTGATCTCATTCGTCAGCAAAGGGAGAGAGGGAGGACGTCACACTTGAATCATATGGGTGTCCTCGCGGGCGGGTTGTGGCAACCCTTTCCCACCTCGCGCTGCTCCAGCCCTCACCCCCAACTCCCTTTTTCTTTGAATACCAGCGTTCGGTGGATTTGCCACAGAAGCAAAAAGAGAACGGAGAGTGAAGAAGCGGCGTTGCCCCGCTTTACCAAAGCAACAATGTCTCTCCTTTACTCGCTCGGCCACAAACGCACGCTACATCTTTTTTTCTTTGGATTCGGTGCAGCTTTTGAAAACACACAGACGAAGGTACAAGAAAACGACACATAGTTTCAACTCGACGCAACTTCCAGTACTTCCAGATTATCTTCTTTCCACCCATCCACCTCCTCCTCCTCCTCTCACTTCGCCGCTGCCCTCTCTTCCGCACTCCATGGAAGCGCGAGTGATGAACAGCGAACACGAAAAACAAAAAGGAAATGAAACACACGCGATAAACGGAGAGAGGTGATGGATAACACAAACACCAAAACGTGCGCAGGTGACACGTGGAACAAATCCCCGGTGCCTCCCTCAGTGCGTTTTTTGTTTGTTTGTTTCTTCTGTCAAATCAATCGGCAACAACAACAAAATGAACGCACACGACACACGACACAAACAAACAGAAAAAGAAGAAAAGAAAAGAAAATGATAGAACCGGTACAATAGAAAGGAAAAAGAAACAAAAAAAGTTATCGTGATATACAGGACAGACGTGAAACACGAGAGAGAGGAAAGAAGAAACACGAAGAGGAAAGAAAAAGAATTACGCCTAGAGAAGAATGAGGGAACGCGCGCGACTGACGATGCTGATCAAGGTGAGGCGGCAGAATAGGGATACTTGGGGGTCAAGAAAAAGGAAAAGGAACAAACCAGCACCGTTGGCCGCCTCGGCGCTCTAGTGTGCAGCTGGGGTGCCTGTAAAGTAAATCTCTTTCCTTTTTTGAGGGATCCGTGTATACCGTCACGTGAGCAGCCCACTGCTACGTCGCAAAGACAATCATCCTTTACAAGAGGTGTGCAGATGGGTCGCTGCCGCTGCTTTGGTCATCCTTTCAAGGCGTTACCTTCTTTCTCTTCTCTCTTCCTACCAGCCCTCCTCCTCGCGGTTCTTGGCGCGCACGTAGTGCATCACACCCTGGAGGTCAGCCTTCAGCTCCTTCAGCTCCTCCTCTTCCTTGGACAGCTTCTCCTTCATCTCGCGCGCGTCGGCGCCCTCGTCCTCGATGACCTTCAGGGCCGCCTCGTGCTCGCGGAGCTTCGTCTCGGTCGTCTCGCGAGAGTCATCGAGGTTGTGCTTCAGGACTTTGACCTCCTCCATCAGCTCCGCCAACTCGTCCTTCATCTTCGCCACTTGCGCGGTGGTCTTGAACTCCACCTCGTCGACGCGGCGCTCACGGGTCTGGCACTCCTTCTCCTTCGACACCAGCGGCTGCGCGCGCTTCGCCGTACCGCGATGGCGGTGGTAGTGCTGCTCCGATGCTAGCTGGCGGGCGTTGGCGCGGGCGTCGGCAAGGTTGTCCATCTCGCGCTCGTGGTTCTCGGCGATCGCGGTCTTCTCCTTCTCGCGGGCGTCGGTCGTTTCGTTGATGGCCTCCTCCTGCTGGGCGTAGAGGGCGTCGGCCTTCTCGCTAGCGGCGGCAAACTTCGCCCGCGCCGCCTCGACGCGCTCGCGCAGGTTGTTGACGTCGATCTCTGCCCAGTCCATGTTGTCCGGGTTGTGGTACTCCGACTCCTCGGCCCAGATCTTCTGCAGGGTGGACTGCTGGGCCTCGTCTTCGAGGATGGCCACCTCCTTCGCCACCTCGGGGTCGCTGGCGGCGATCACCGCTTCGGTGTTGGCCAGCTGCTGGCGCAGGCGCTCCTCGTCCTCTTGCACTACCGTCAGCTCCTTCCGCAGACCGACTACCTCGCTGTACAGCTGCAGGCGCTGCTCTAAGTTGGAGTCGTCATGCGCCAGGGCCTCCTGCTCGCGGCGCAGCTCCTCGACGGCAGCCGCGTAGTCTGCAACACCCTCCGACTCGGTCGCGTCCGACGCTTCGGCGGCGTCATCGTCGGCGGCAACTTCATCGTGGGCGTCAGCGCGGGCAGCATCAACGTGAGCGTCGGAAGCGTCATTGGCCACTGCGTCGTCCCTGGCATCCTTCTCTTCGGTCGCCGCCGCCGCAGCAGCAGCAGCAGCAGCATCATCGGCGTGAGCGGCGGCGCGTTGGGCTTCCGCGGCTGCCTCGGCGGCCGACGCGTCGCTGCGTCTCGCCGCACCAGCCCCCGCGCTGACAGGCGTGTGGGAGCGGTTGGGTGTGACGCCACCGCTGCTGGGGCGGTGTTTGATGATCACCTCGCCTGTGCCTTCGCTACTCGCACGGCGAGAGCCACCGTTTGCGCTGCGGCTGCGCTCCACCGCATCGGCCGGGTTGGAGTGGTGGCTGCCGGCAGAGCGGCTGCGTTCGTTGGGTCCGCTGCTCAGAGAACGGCGGCGCTCTACCGCTGCGCGGGCGGCGTCGGCCTTAGCGCGGGCGGCGATCATACGCTCATCCTGATCCTCCACGGCGGGGGTGTCGTGAACGTCAGACATCGTGCGCGGATACGTGTTGTGCTTTTGTTTGTCTGTTTTTTATGTTGTGTTTGGTGCGCAGCAGCGATTGAATCGTTCTTGCTGTTGTTGGACTGCAAATGATGTATAATTGCACGTTGCACTCTCCGTTGCTGCTTTTGTCTTTCCTGTTAGCGATTGCTGTTGTGAACCGAGCAAAGCAGAAAAGATGAGATCTGGATTGAGAGACAGGCGGAAGAAGAAAAATTCTTGCAAAAAAAAAAAGAAAAAGAAACAAAGAACTTGTCAATCGCGAGAAGATGAACGTCAGCGGAGGAGAAAAGCACAAATACGAGCAGTGGAAAGGAGAGGAAACACACGCACTAGAGAAAACCACGTCAAATGACACAGGCGAACTCATTCCGACTTTTTCTCTTTTTAAGTGCCGGTCGGAACAACACCATCCCTGACAGCACGATCGCGCCAATTATCCCCACATGTCGCATAACAGTGATTTCAACAATGTCTGCTCTGCTCACAAGGTGCTTGCTCACCACGAGTCGAGAATCAAAAAACACCGGAAAGGTGAAAGCTGAGCATACAATCAACACACAGAAGCCCTTCTCTTTCGTCATGGAGGGAAAAGTTTGGGCTTCGTTGTACCAACGTGTGCGTGAGAAAACAGCGATTCTCTCTCTCCAGTTCATTTTCTCTTTTTGCACTATTATTATTGAATGCGCTTCAAGGCTCTGCTTACACAGAGTTTCTTGATCAATTCGTTGTACTATTCATTTGGAAAAAAAAAAGAAAGAAACAAGAAAGAAAGAAACAACGAGCTACTCAAAATAAGATAAAGGGGGTACTTTCTTCCCGAAAGAAGAAATGTGCGGAAATAGCGAAAACACAAAACAAAAGAGAGAGAGAAGACTTGATCAACGCAGGGCAAAGGAGAAAACCTAGAAAAAGAGCGCGACCTCTTTCAACCTCTTGCCTACAACAGCCTCGAAAAGACAGGATAGTCGCTGTCAAGTCACGAAACGCAAAATGAGTGAAAAGCTGTAAAAACAGAACTATTTTCAGCGTGAGAGAGGCTGAAGATATATGTATTTTTTAAGTCAATGAAAACGGAAAAGACGGCACAACACATAGTGCTACGATCGGGGGTAATAGTAACAATAATAATAGAATGATAAAAAGAGAAAGTCACCTGTTAAGCGGGAACAACAAGACACAGCTTGCGTTCTGTCGCGTGTGGGTTAGCCGGCGTCGCCAGGCACTCACGAAGTACATGAACCGCTTCAATGAGGTGCGCCTCTCCCTCCGTATCGTTTTGGCGTCTCTTTCTCTTTTTGTCCCACAATACAGAATGTATTTTTTGGTGCCCGTGTTTATTATTCGTGAAACTCTCTTCAAAGCGTGTGTGTCTAAGATGCGACGTGGGCGGTGAACACCGCAAGCTTCCTTCATACCTGACTCTTTGCATGATCGCATTGAATGCCACGCAAGTGGTGGGCAGGACGCTCAAGGAAACACAGCGAGAAAGTAAAAAAAGAGGGAGGAAGGAAGCGTAGGCTTCTCTTTGCTGTTGTTTGACTCGAGCATCCCAACAACCTCTGCTGCCTTCAACAAGTATTTATGTTACACCCTTATATTTATATGGACCTATACAACATGAAATTTTCTTACTAGATGCAAATGACAGCGATGCGGCGCCTGCTCCTGTGTCCCTTTACAAACTTCAAAGAGCGCTTTCCGTGCTTTCCCATCCACCTCTTTGCGTTGTTGGTGTTGCTGCTTTTGACAGCCTCCTTTGCCCAGTGCAGCCAGCAGTCAGCCCCCTCATTCAAATACGGGAGATAAATGCGTAGCAGGAAAACGAAACAAACAAACAAAACTTCGCGATGAGATGGGAAGAACAATCGAAGAGACGCAAGCCCAAGAAGGATCACGTTGAGAGGGGAGGAGTCGGGGGAAAAAAGGATCAATGCTTTACGCCACTTGGATCTTGAGAACATACACTGGCGCACAAAGCAAAAAGAAAGGAAAAGAGAGAAAAGAAGAGCATTTGTTAATTAGAGAAGAAAATCAAAAGCCGCTCTGGCAGTCGTTGTCCCGTCAGGAAAAAAAAGATGCTAGCGGCGTTGAAACAGCAAGAGAAAGAGGAGGAAACAACAAACAAAAACGAATGTATAAAAGAGAGAGGAAACAACAGGTTTGGGGTTATTTTAAGCAAGTAAATCTGAAAGAGAGTTATATGAGCGAAACGTAAAAAAAAAAAATAACAAAGGAGAAAAGAAGGCAGACAAAAGTAGAAAAACGACATGTAAAAAAAAATATATATGACTTGAAATCAAAGTCTCAAAAGAAAGAAGCGGCAATCATAGCCCACCGCCTTATTCAGTTCTTCCTTTGTCCAAGGAAAGAAAAAAAGGAGAAAACCGGTGAGGAGGGAGACCGAAGATGAAAGGAAAAAGAGCGGCCTGTGGCCGGCTCGCACCCTCTCACCTTACCGCACCCGTCACAGTTTTTATTTTTAAGTTCAAAGACGAAATTCACTTTTCCAATGAAATTCAAAATAACCGGCATCAATCAAGAACAAACAACGATGTGACACACGGCAAGAATAAGAAGGATAGGAAGCCAAGAGTCGAAGTGATTGCACGGCATTTAGGGAAATACATAACTAGCGAGTATCTGGCATCAATATCCCCATCAAGGCTACTCATTGTTTCTTCACTATCTAGTATCTGCCCCAATTCCGTTCTTCTTTATCTGTCGTGTTTGTCGTCGGACTTTTTCTCAGAGAGTATCGCATTACGAAGTGCAAGGAAAACAAAACTCATGGATCTTTTTAAGGATCCCATGGGTCCCTGTCGTGGGAGGGACCGGGGGTGGGCGGGTGGATTTCAGCGAAAAACCGGAGTTTCTCTCGATGCTGAAAACAACTGTGCCAGGCAAACCAGAATACGGAAGAACCAGGATTCAGGAGGAAGTAGAAGAGGAGAAGATAGTTTAGAGCATTACCCTAAATGACCGAGATCCGCCAATCTCTCCGCTGCCAATCACATTCAACTCATTTTTTCCGTCCCTTCCATTCCCCTCGCAGGCTCACAAAATAAGCAAGGAGGGGGAAAGGAGAACCGAGAGGAAGAAAACGTGTGTTGAAGATACTAGGAACTAAGACAGCTGGCTGAAAAAAAAAGGGAAAAGCACACCGTGGAAAGAGTGGTTGCTGTTTCCTTTTGAAATCAAAATGTTCAGCCTAGGCTGCTTGTTCTGCGACGTGCCGAATAATAATAATACTGAGAGAAAGAAAAGGCCGCGGGTTTGCAACCGCCGCGCTGGCTTGCCCTAGAAAATAGTATACGAGACACACAGGAAAACAAAAAAGATCCTTCGCGTCGTAAAAGTCACGCAGAGAACGAAGGCGCAATTAGACATGTCAACAGAACATTAAAAAAGAAAAAAAAAGAGAGGAGATCAAAGATCAAAAAGAAGTCCAGGAAAAAAAAATGAAAATGAAAGAGCTAGTTTGTTGGGCTGGTCTTTATGCTATTCATTCTTCTTCCTCCCTCTCCCTCGCTGCTTTTCGACGAGTTTCATTGGTTCACTACGCACCGCAGCTTGGACATTAGGTGCAAACGAAGAGAAAAAAAGATGTAGCTTATATATATAATAGAAGAGATATATGAGGAACCGAGAAAAGGGGGGATGTGGAACAAAATAGGACACTATAGTTCGCAAGAAGCAGAAGCTGTGTTGAAGATCAGCTTTCACATGGTCGGCACAGCCAGCATTGTCCATCAACTCATCAGCAGTCAGCAATATATAGGGAGACAGGATGCTGAGTCACGTTGAACTAAAAGTTTTCCCCCATGTCGTGTGGAAGCGAGAAAGCATCGTCCTTTTGCATAGGTATGCACGTCGGGGGCTCCCCATTCCCTCTGCTCACCTGTCTTCACCTTTGCGGTCTCGCACAACCTCCTTTTCCCCCTTTAAAATAGTGGCCCCTCCAGATCCACACAACAAACGCACGCGCGTTCATAGGAAATGACACCCGAGCAATACAATTTGCGTCCCAGTTGGCGCCCATTCATTGAAAGCACAAAACTTGGAAAATCAAAATCCGTGTGGTCTCAACAAGCAGGACAGAAAAACACTAAGTAACAAATCATACTTGAATGTTAAATAATAATGATGCTAGTTGAGTGCGCCTGCTTGGTTTTATGCGCTACGCATACTACCGGTTTTCGTTTCTCGTTTCGTAGAACAAGAAAACGAAAACAGAGAACAGTAGCACAGTAGCACAGAGCACGGGGAAAACACCCATTGTGTTTGAGCCGTACGCAATCGTGAGGTTCTACTATAAAAAGGCCAACCAAAAAGAAAAGAAAAAAACCAGGCGTAGGCCTTGAGGTGCTAAGAAGACAGAGGGAAAAAAAAAAAGCAGAGACAACGCTTATGCACCCCGCATGCTCACACGCAGGCACATGTTTGCATCTCTGAAAAATTGATCCTACATTCACCCAAAGCAAACCGCGAGAGAACACGCAAGAAAGAAAGAAAGAAACCACACCATTAAATGTAACCGGATCTAACCGAAAGAAGAAATGCAAAAACGCACGAAAACGGGGAAATCAATTTGCCCCGCGATTGGTACAATAGAAAAAAAAACCCCACTGAATTTCTATCATGAACGTCCGGTGTGAGCGAGCCGACACACGAGTAGTCGCAGTGCAACCTCCGGTTGACGGAGGCATGCAACGAAAGAAAACAAAAAAAAAGACAAGAAAGAAAAAAAAAAGGCGAGAAGCTCGTCTGTCAAAGCGCGTCACAAATAAGAAAAAAGGGTACGTTTTCGTCTTCATTTTTTGCATCTGGCGGGTGCAATGAGAGAAAAAAAAAACTAGAATTGAAGAGCTGTTATTATTTCATTACTATTTTTGAATCAGCTCAATAAAAATGCATACGCACACGCCATCATGCAGGTTCGTGCTTTCCATCACAAACTTTGCAAGCTGGTCAACACGTACACACATATATACAAACGAGCGCAGACAAGAACGAAACCAATTAGTGTTTTTAGTCCATTTGATTCGTGGGTTGGTAAGTTAGTCGCTGTGCAATTACGTATACGAAAGAAGAAAAGAAAAGAACAGGAACAGGAACATGAGGCGCAGCAAGACAAGGTACAAACAACACCCTTTCACGCAATGCTAAAGCTTGGAGAGAGAGAGAGAGAGGGAGGAAGCTACTGTCGTCCATTCGTACGCCTTGTGACATGAAAACACTTCATCAGTGTGTCGATGCACTTCTTGCTTCGATGCCGGATCTGTGCACCGTACACCGGTAAAGGATTCTGTGTATTACCATTCTTAGCAGCACTACGCTCCCGTTCTTTCTGTTCGTTTCACTTGTTCCCCGTTCGCCATTGAGATGTCCCGACTTTTCCCTTCTTCTCCGTACACGACGCAATCAACCAAGAAAAGAAAAGAACTCTCGACGAGCACTTGTAGGGGAATACCAAGACCCCATTTCCTTTGCATTGGAATTTTCCCTGCTCTATCCCCGTTCGAGGAGTAGGACTTACGAGATCGAATTAAAGCAAAAATCAAACGTGCACACACACGCATAGCCGTACTTGAGGCGCACATTTCCGCCTCAGAAGGCGAAAACAGAGAAGCCGAGACCGGCAAAAAGAAAACTAACAATATTTGATATGACGTTTTGTTCGGTGAAGTTTATCATTAATGGCGGTTTTGTTCACTGAGAGTGGAAAAAAAAAAACCTGAAAAAAGAAAAAAGTACGTCATCGAATTCAATACAGAAGAGAATGTAGAAAGGAAAAAAAAAAGGAGGAAAGAGACCACACACAAATGGGTCTCGCATTTCGTTCGTGTTGATGTGTGCTTATGCGTACTATGCACGCTGCACAACATCTAACAACCTGCGAAGGAGCAGTAAACACCACGTAAAGAGAGAAAAGCAGAAAAAAAAAGATGAAATAAAAGCAAAATGAAAGGAGAAATCTCTTAGGAATCCTAGCAATGAGAACAGAGAACAGAAGAACAAGACAGCAGTATACTTTTTCGTACCTCTGGAGGGGCAGGAAAAAAAAAACCACTAAAAGGCAATGAAATACCTTCGTGTCGGATCTCATGTTGAGTTGGGTGACCGAAAAATGGAGCCAACAAGAAAAAAAAACAGAAGCCGAAGCACACGCAAAAAAGAAGTAGCTGTTTGAGAGTTAAAAGCGTGCTATAACTCGTCAATGCTGTAGGTTAGAAGGGAAAGAAAAATAGGAAACAGGAAAACACTGAAGTAGAAATAGATAAATAAACAAAAAAAACAATAGAAATCGCACAAAGTGAAATAAGGAAAAAAAATAAGGAACTGAGATTTTCTTTCTTTTTAGAGTACATGCATCTAGCCATGTAAACACGCAGAGGGAGAAAAATGAGGACATAATACACTGAACGTTAGTTTCTTTGCGGACTTTAACATAAAACAATGCCGAAAGACACAACGTAGAGGAATCCGAGAAGGCACTTCGAGAAAGAGAAGAAAAAAAAAATGCCGCGGTATTGCCACTTGATCCCCATCGATTCTCCATTGCGCATTTGTGTTTGTATATGTGGATTGGGGGTGCGAAACAGCAAAAAGCAGAAGACCTTCCGTCGTTTGTTTTCTCCAGTACGGCGATCCTTTCTTTTTCCTTTTCTACTCACATCTCCATCAATTTTTTCTTCTCTGGAAAGAAAAAAAGAAAACGGAAGTGTTTTGCATTTAACGTGAGTGGGAATGTTAGTTGCCTTTTCGGGTTTCAACAAAAAAAAAGGAGAGGGAGAGAACAAAATAATTAAATAATGAGACGGCAAGAAACAAAAACACAAGAGAAGGCGCCACCGTATGATCTGGCGTAGAAAGAAAAAAAAGTTTTCAACTCTTCCTAAATTTAAATTCAAAGATTCTGCCGAGTGCCCTATTCTTTTTAGATTTACTTATTACTATCATTCCATTTACGGTGCTGTATGATACCTTTTTCTCCTGTCGAGACGTATTAATGAAGAATCGGACACAACACAGGAACAAGTAAATAAATAATACAATAAAGAAAGAGAGCAGCAACGACAAGAATCACAAAGTACCAAACAATTGAACCTCTGTCACTTGCGGAAGAGGGAAAAGAGGAAGCACAAGAAAACATATATATATATATATATATACTACGACTTCGCGTTGCATCCGAACCGCCATAAACAAACTCCGCCAAGCGCGAGAGGAAGACTTAGCGGGGAAACACTAGTACTGGATCAGTCCTCTCTAGCGCGTCATGGCATTAAGAAGGCCGCCAGAGCTATGATGACTATTCATGCACATCTGACTGCCGTAGCTGCTGGCGGTTGGCACATCGCACTTCGCCAAGAAAGGGCCGTAGGGGTTGTGGTGCCAGCAAGAGGGATTCGGCGAGGCACTGCAGCCCTGCGGCAGGGACCGCGGCAGGCCGCAGTTGCCCGGCGAGTTCGCGCCACCCACCCCGGCGCAGCCGCCGCCCATGACAGCCAGCGTCTCATCGGTCGGCGTTGACCTCTTATCGGAACTGTTTGGCGAGTCGAAGTGCACAGCGTGAGGCACGTGCGGGAACGAGTTCACCGTCGGCAGGCTGAACGTAACGCGGACGCGGCCGTTGCTCGGTGTGTACATGTTGGCCATCATCGTTGGTGAGTTGTGGCTGTTGTTAGCACCGGGGAAGCTGCCCATGCCGGCGATCACCGCCACGTTCGGCCCCATCAAGGCGTCCGTCGGCAGCACCGCTGCACTCGGCGGCGTCGCCGTCGCGTTTGTCGCGGCGTGGTAGCACGAGGGGCTCTTGGGCAGGAAGGGGATGGCGTGGCTCTGCATGCCGGCCGCACCGGCACCCGCGCTGACCTCCTCCCGCTGCGGCACCAGCAGCGGGCGGCCGGCGAAGCTGTTGCCGCCACCGGCGAGGACAGGCGAGGACTGCTGCTGATGTTGCTGCATGCTGATAGAGGTGAAGACGGACTGGCGCTGTGCGGCGGCCGCGGCGCTGTGTGCGTTCTTGCCGCGGCGCTCGATCGAAGTCGCAGAGGCGCCGATAACCGTCGTCGCACTCATGCCGGCGCTCGTGATGCTCGCGTCGAACGAGCAATTCGGAGCGCACTCGCCGGCGATCGGCGATGGCGACGCCGTGAGCTGCGGGTCGACGGTCGTCAGTTCCTTGCAGAGGTGCAGAAACTTGCACTCCTCGGCGTAGCGGCAGCGGTCCATCGCGTGCAGGCGGCACACCGTGGAGCCGGACGCGTCGGCCACGATCTTATCCTCTGGAAACCCAGTCTCGGGGTTCAGCAGACTGACGTGGGCGTTGAGCGGCGCCGCGAGCACCTGTTGCTCCTCCAGCAGGCGGCGCAGACCAATCGTGTAACTCAGTCGCTCCAGTGGCACGTAGCTTCCCTCGTAGGTGGAGCAGCCGGGCACGAAGACGACGACGTCGCGAGCGCACACGTCCGACTCGTCCGCCGCGTTGACAGCGGTGGTGCCGTAGCAGTTCAGATGTGCGTTGTGATGATGGTGCCCCGCCGCGGTGCCGATGACGTCGCGCAGAGGGGCGTTTTCCATCACGCCGAGGTGGTCCTTGTCGCCGTGGCCCGGGCAACAGCAAGGGAGGCTGTCGACCTGTGCACGCAGCCGCTGAACGGCCTGCCAGTCAGCGTGCACCTGGTAGCAGCCCTGTCCTTGGCGGCACCGGCCGGAGAGGAACAGTTGGCACAGGGACGGTAGGGTGCCGCGCTGTTGCGCACGGGTGTCGAAGATGTACTGCTTGGGGATCAGCAGCTTGCGAGTGACTGGGTCCACCACCGTCATGCACAGCTCACCTTCGGCGTTGTAGGAGACGTGACGTCCCTTTCCTGTCATGGAGCGAGGCATCGCGCGAGAGGAAGAGAAGAAGGAAATGTACGAAGACAACTGAGAGGAACTTTGCTGATCCAAAAGCAAGCACAGGTAAAAAGCCAGAAGGCCAACAAAATGTGTTTGTTTGTGGGAGAAAGAGAGAGAGGAGATTGGGCTCTGCAGTGGCTATACCTCTACGCAAAATCGATATATAGAGAGAGAGGGGGGGGAAGGTTGGAAAAAACGAAGAAAAAAGAGATGATAGTAGAAGATAACTAACTGCAGGGGGAGACACAAAGATGACGGAGTCTTCGTTTTGTTATTTTCGACTAGTGAGAGTTTTTTTAAGGTTTGTAAATACTGGAAAACGAGAAAACGAAATAAATAAATAAGTTCGCTGAATGTGATCGTTCCTCGAACAGAAAGCGAATTAAGGAGCAAAAAGGAACAGTGAAAAACACAAACAGGGCGAGAGAGAAAGAGAAAAAAAGATAGTGGATTTGAGAGAAGTAGAAGGCGATGTTTGCTTGATAGGCTAGAGTGTTTTTAAATACTGAATAGGTTTCGATGTAAGAGAGAGGATTGCAAGAAACAAACAAAAAGAACGAAGGGGAGAGAAAAGAAGAGTGCCGTTGAAGAAAATGTGGATTGTAAAGAGTCGGGAAATGCGGAGAGAGAGAGAACACAACCCTTTATTGATGAACAGGCATGCTGCCTTTGCGGAGTTAATTCAATGGCTCATACGCAAAAAAGGTACAAGAAAAAGCCTCTTGAGCGCCTTTAAATGAGCCTCATCATTTTCGAAAAAAAAAAAGAGGGCTGATACGTCGGGGCTTCAATGGGCTTCTGTTTTTCAGACAAGTTTGGCAAGCACTGAAATAATTATAATACGATTCGTTTCACAACAACTTGTTCATTTCGCATGTGTGCATTTGGCAAAACTCGGAACGGCGTCCCTCTAGCAAGCACTGAGGGTTTGGAGTCACCTCTACATACAAAAGAAAGCCAAAGGGAAAGGAAACCACGCTGAGAGTATCAACAGGGCAAAACAAACAGTTCTATTGTTTTTCATTTTAGCGAAGAAGGAAAATTAAAAAATAAAACTTAAAAAATAAAAACAAACACGAGAGAGCACATCGAAAAGCACAGAGGAGAAAGCGCGAAAAGAGGGGCGAAGAAAAAAGCAGGAAAATACATACACGTAATCGTGCATCGCTTTTCGGTCGCTGATGGGCGCTTTTCATTCTTTTCATGACGCTTTTCTTAAAACAAAAAAAAAACTCATATTACCGTATCAGCTCCGCGTGTCTCTGACACCACAGCAAGGAGATGACCGAAACCCCCGAAAAGGAAATGAGTACGCCATACACTGGCAGGAAAGAGAATAGAAAGAAAAACAAAAAAACACGCAAGTAGGACCTACTGTAGCACCAAGACATGGATGTTGCGTCGTTTACGCTGTCATTGAGAACGACCAAAAAAAAAAGAGAGAGAAAAAAAGTGCAGCCAAGAATACGCACAAACACGGAAACAACGAAAACATATTTTCTTTTCTATTAATGCGAAAGACTTGCCACACCAGCAGTGATTTCTTTCCAACTCCACAAAGACTTGACCAATAAATTGAAAAGAAAAGTACGACAGCAGCGCGCACAACTGTTTAGGCACCGTCAAAAACAAAACAGCAAGCACCTCAGAAAGAAGGGTAAAGGACACGCAAACACAAACAGAGAAAAAAGTGCGAGCGAGTCGAATAACTGTGAAACACGCAAGAAAAACGGAGAAAACAAAAAGGAATAATAACAAAAGCGAGCAAAAGAATCAGTGTTAGATGAACAGCGAAGGGCCGAGGCTTCACTACTATTCAAGAAAAGGCACAGAAGGAGAAAAAAGAGCGACATGCCTTTATGGATTTCTTCGATGGGTGTCATTTGAACAGCTGTGGCTCGTCTACCACCACACATGTCACACGCAATAATAATAAGAAAACGAAGAAGTCTTCCTTGGCCTATCAGTGCGAGTGGTGTGACCTGCATTTTCCGTTGCAGCACTACACTCAGCAACAGAATCATTGCTATGCTGCCTTGCAGAAGTGCTTTCACTCCTGAGATACGGGTTAATGCGGAACTAAATTGATGTACATCAGTAAATGGAAAAGGAGAAGAGACAAAAAAGAAAAAGAAAAAAAGAAAAAAGAAAAAAGGACAAAAACTCTACAGAGAAATCTCTCGAACTACATCGCCCATTAGGGAAGCAAATAAAGCCCGATTCGCTTCTTTCCGTTTTGTGTGTCCGTGTGTGGACACCCCGCAACGATTTCAACGTCGCCTTTTAGAAATTCCAACTCCCTCCCTCCTCCCTCGGGCAGATTTTTTCTCGTTGTTGCTGCTTTTTTGTTGTTGTTGTTTTTGGCTGCACCAGGCCGTCCTTCCTCGTTCTTTCAACACCCGAGGGTCTGCACCATGCTCACCGGAACAAACGTCACGGTTCCGTCTTGGTTGATCTGCTGAACGTAAAGGCGTTGCTGCTGCTGTTGTTGTTGCATCGGTGAGGAGGCGCCGCTTGAACGCCCGGCAAGAGCCGCGTAAGACCCGGTGCCGTTGCACAGGTTCGGCATGCTCCGTGCCAGCGGCAGGCCCAGATTCAGCGGCGATCCAGCCCCGCTGCGGTTGGGCGCCTGCGTCATCGCGGAGCTTGAGTGCGGGAGGGGATTCGGACCGGTGCTCTGAGCACTCAACGTGCGTAGGTGGTAGCCGGGCTGCGGGGATCCAGGGATCGACGCGGTGCGCTGCTGCTGTAGTAGCAACGTCGGTGGTGCCGCGGGGCGGCCAGCGGGCGACCGCGCAGGCGAATTGTGTGACTGCTGCACCGTGGTGACGGTAAAGAGCGAGCCGGAGGGCTGCGATGGCAGCGCGGCACCGTTGGTGGGGCCCGTCGGCGCGGCCTTCGCGAGGCCGCCAGCGCTGCTGTACGTGCCCGACACGGACGGCGCCATCCCTTGAGAGAACTGCATGGGAGAAAAGTTAGCAGAGGACACGAGAGAGCCGCTGTTGTTGTTGTCGCTGCTGCCGTTGGTGGTGCTGCCACCGTTCTGGCAAGGGGCGGAAATGAAGTTCCGGTTGTACAGCGCCCCTCCGACCGGCCCGGCGGCAGGCGAACCCGTCACCTGGCTGCCGTTGCTCTGCCGAAGTTCCTGCGGCATGGGTGAACCGCTGCCGGGGAGCGGCAGCGCAGACTGCATGTGCAGCGGAGGCGACGACGACAGCTCACCTGTCGCTGACAAAGGGACACCGGTAGGCATCGCCCCTGCCTGGTGCGGGGCCACCGTTGCAGGTAGCATGCTGCTGTTGGGAAGGGGGAAGTTCACGAGGTTGCTGAGCGCGTGAGGGTATGTACGCGCCGACGGCGAGCCAGGAGCGCTGGAGCCGAGCCGCAGGGGTTGTTGCGGCTGATGTGCTGGCGTAGATGGTGCGTTGGTCGCCGCAGTCGCGCTCGACATCACGTGGGCCAGTTCATTGTTCAAGATGCTGCAGCAGACGTGAATAAATTTGCAGTCAGCGCCGAAGCGGCAGCCGCCGGGTTGGCCATGCAGACGACACAGCACCGACGGGTTCACCGGCACCGACGTCGCCCCGCCTTGCAAGACGCGCTGCAGCCCCGCGGTGTAGGCCACCCGGGAAAGCGGCACGTTGTACTGACCCGCAATGCACAGGGCGCGGCCTTCGTAGCTGGCGGGGTCGACGAGGTGGCAGTTGCAGTCCCCATGCAACAAGCAGCAACACGGCATGCTCTCCATGTCCACCCGCAGCCGCTCCACCGTGGCGGGGTCTACGTGGACCTGATAGCAGTTGTCCCCCTGCCGGCAGCGGCCAGATTGAAAGAGCAAACAGAGCGACGGTGTTTTGAGACGGCCGTTCAGCGCCTTGGTGGTCTGAATCGCTGAGAGCGGCACGTGCAACTTGCGGCGCTGCGGATCAACCACGTTGATGCAACCGCGCTGGTCAACGTGGTGATGCAGGGCGCAGCCGCCGTTGTAGGTGGAGGCGACGGCTGGCAAGGAGATCTCGCTTTCCGTGCGCGTGTGGCAATGCGGCGTCGCGTTCTCCTCCGCCGCGTTCTCCTCCGCCGCCGTGGTCGAGGCGAAGTGCTGCACCGGGGTGTAGCTCGTCCCGGGCATCGATGCTTGGGAGAAGAAGCGGTCAATGCTGGAGTCCGGCGAGGCCCCGCGCTCGTGGGAGAGGCGACTGGGATGGCGTTGGTGGTGGGAGGAGGCCCAACGGCTCGGGACGGAGGCGCCGCGCTGACGGACCGGCGTCGAGGGATTCGAACAGCTGCTGCTCACGCTGGCTGGCGCCGTCACGCCCCGGTAGGAGTCCGGTGCGGGGGTGCCGCGGAGGTTGCCGTCGATGTTCAGCTTGTGCGCCACAATAGAGCTGACGTGGCTACGCATGAGCGGGCTGCCGTGGCAGGTGAGAGGGACTTCCTCTGCCGCCTGCTGTCCGGACTCGATTGTGGAGGGCACGGTGCGCATTTCATCCTGTGCATCCGGCGAGCCGTAGCGGTCCAGGTGGAGCAGCTCCGTGTCTGCCATCTGCGGCGTTGGCGAGGCGGCCGACGTGTCATCGGAGCGCCCCTTCAGCGCGGTCTGAAAGTTGGCGAGCAAGCCCTCCAGCATTGACGGCGTGAGGTGCAGCGGCGCGATGTTCGCCGTGTCACCCGTGGCCTTGGCCTCGACAGAGGAGAACGGAGACCCGCAGGAGGCGCTGCTGCGGTCGTTGGCACTGCCACCACCGTCTGCGCTTGTCCCAAACGGCGAAGACGGCGTGTTGCCGCTCCCGCTGCGGTTCAGCTCTCGCTCCCTTGTGTTCGACATGAGATCGGCAAAGAGACTGCGGGGGCGGGGTTGCAGGGACGCCGGCTGCCCCCCTGCCGCAGGGGAGGCGGGGTCAACGACGACGACTGGGAAGGTACGTGGAAGCGCCGCTGCTGCCGTGGTCGTCCTGTGACGGTTCGTCTCGCGCTGGTGGAGCCGCAGCATGTCGGACGCCTCCCCCTCGCGGCCCACCAGTGCGCCGTTGCCTTGCAGCGACGCGATAAGGCTGGAGATGGTGCCGAGATCGACGTCGTCGTACAGCAGCACGTCATCGTCGCCGCTGTCTTGGTCAACGAGCTCCGCACCGCCATCAGCAGCGGCAGCAGCAGCAGCGCCGCTGAGGGGTTCCTCCGCAGAGCGAAAGCCGCCGTGCCCATTTTCAACGTCTGCGCCGCGTTGTCCCGCAACATTCACGTTGGTGGCAGAGATGCCGTTCACCGCGGTGCTCAGCACAACGCCGCTGTCGTTGAAGCTGCTGCGACTGTCGACCCCCGAAAGTGGCCGCACCACTCCACCAAGCATTCCTTTCTCTACGAAAGAAGCCGCGGGTACGAAGGCGCCGGCGCTGCGCGGAGGCGGGGATGTGGAGAGGTGCTGCGGCAGCTGCGGTCCCCAAATGGGAGAACTCTCCGTCAAGCCGAGCGGATCAGAGACGCCGGCGCTGTTGGAGGTTTGCCACAACGACGGAGCATCGCTTTGTGTCGTGGAGGTGCCCCACGGCGCCTCATCAGACGCGATGCCGTTGTTGAGGCAGAAGCTGCCTGCGATGGAGCTTGCGGTGCATCCGTGGTACTCCGGCGAGGACGCAAAGCTGGACACGTGCCGGTGTGTGCCTTCCATGCCGCTTACCGGTGCACTGCGATGCGTCGAGAGGTCGTTCCACCAACTCATCGTGAATCTGAAGTACTCGCTTTCCCTGTTAACACGATTGAATAAACAAAGAAAAGCGCTGCTTTCTCGCAGGCGGTTTCTCTACTAAGGGAAAAAAGCGACAAAGACGTAATCGGTTTTCTCAGCAAACAGATACGCGCAATAGACAGCGAAAGAAAACGAAGACGACACAAGCGCAGAGAGGACAGACGATGCGTCACCTATAACTGAAAATTTATATGCAAGAAAGGGGCAGAAAGGGAAAAAATAAAGATGATGAAAAGAGTCGCTTAAGACAAAAACGTGAAACAGAAGAACAGCAGGGGGGAAAAAGAAACTTGGGAAATGATAGCAGCGGAGCTCACGACGAAAAGAACCGTGTAATCCGCAGTTTAACAATTGAAAACAATAATAATAGTAATAAATGATAATGACCCCTTCACACCGGAAAGAAAACAACGTGAAACGAAGAATTTGAGCGGAGTTCAATAATTGCAAGAGGAGAATGCAAAAAGAAATGTAGACGATCTGTTGGATGTGTGGACAAAACACCAGAAACAACCAAACCGCAACTTTTTAGTACACCTGGCTTTATAGTATCGCGCCGCGTTTTGCACTACTCCTGTTTTTCGCCTTGCTTTGATAAAAACAAAAAGAGAACGACAAATACCCAAGAAGCAGACCAATAAAGAAAAAAAGCGTTGATTTGTAGCTATTGGGAAACGAGGGGGGGGGGGCTTGGTAAAAAAAAAAAGTGATTAGTTGCTATTTTTACACCAACTCTCTGACACGCAGAACACCGTTGTTTGTCCTTCGCCTTTTATCACCGTGCTTGTCCCTCAAACGAAAAGAGAGAGAAGAAAAAATGTTCCTACTTACGCTGTTGTCTGTTTGGATTAGTAAGTAAATAAACAGCTGCTCTTCATACGAGAATTTCAACCGCACTAGAAACGACCACAGATTTTTTCTACTGCCAATTGAGGCAGCAAGAAGTAACGAAAATTGCCTTGAAGTAACGTTGTGTACGCCAATATACTACGCAAGGCACCAACGTGTGTGTGTATGTGTGTCTTTCTTTGAGGGGAGCTTATAAAGATAAAAACACAAAAACAAGAATGAAAAGAAAAGCGCGGACAAAAAACAAATATGAGATAACGATATGAAAAAAAAAAAGCAATGCTTAACGACGACGCACCTCTCCAAACAAAACTTGGCGAAGGAAGACGTGAGGACACGGTACGTTGAGTAAATATCGGCTTACCTCGTTTCTTTTCTACTTTTCGTCAAATGAAGACAGAAAGAAGGAAACTAAATCGCACACGCACATAACAAAGAAAAAGGTGTAAAGCACTGGAAGGCAAGAAGAGCAATGGTGTAAGATACAAGGGTTGCAACGAAAGAAGAAAACCAAAATTATATATGTCTACGTTCTTACTCCTCAACTGGAGGAGTGTGCCCTTTTCAAGGCGTATCTTTGCTTCTCCACGTACAGAAGGAATACACAACGCCGATGATGCAAAGGCGGAAAAAAAAAGTAGCAATCCTCCACGCTGTTTAATTCCCGAACCGTGTGCGTGTGTTGGGAAAGAAGGGAGATCAAGAACAGCGTCTGTTTTCTACAGCAGAAACGACAGCAACAATTGTCCGAACCGCTCTACGTTGGAAAGAAAGAAGAAAGAGATCAACTTTTAGGCAAATTATTTTTTCCGACCAGCAAGCCTGCCCAACAAAAAGATTTGATTCCCCTGCCAAATATCCTTCCCTGTTCGTAGGAAATCTGTGTTTTAACGGCCAAAAAGAGAAAAGGGTGTGTGGGGCTGTGTCGCTGCTAGCAATGTGTTTTGTTCTGTTTTCCGCCCTACTGAAAAGCACTTCAGGAAGAAGAAAAGAAGGAGATGACGCAAGGCACAGTAGCAGTAGTCGTTACCGCCTTGACGAAGCGAATACCAACGCGAGAAAATCAGGAGAACAAAAAAAAACGCAATTTGTTGTCGCAACAATGAGAACGGGTAAGAAAGAAAAAGGGATTCAAAATAACGCCTTTTGTATATGTGTTTTAGTGAGCTTGCGTGTTTGTGTCGCTCTTCATAGACTAACGAAAAAAATACTACCTCTATTAATACTCTATCAAGAATGCAGCCTCCTTCCCTTTGTCTTGGTCGGGAAAGACTAGCAAAGTGTGTGCAACCACCGTGCCTTCCTCCGCCTTCCGATGCAGCAAATTTACCTTCACACGATAAAAGGCTGAAGTTAGCAAGAGAGATAAATGAGAAGGGAAAGCCAAGAGTGTGAAAAAAAGATGTACGAAAACACCTATATGTGTTACTCCGCTATTGTCATACTCTGAAGCTATTCGTTTTTCTATTGTTGTTGTTCTTTCTTCCTTTTTTATGTATAGGAAGACAAGATAAGTCACGCAGAACAAAACAAAGAAAGGCAAATTAAAAAGAAAAGAAAGAAAGAGGGGAATGAACACTGAGGACGGGGGGGGAAAGAAGAATGAAAAAACCAACAAGGAGAGAACTTCTGTACATAAAAAAAATATTCTGAATATTTATACAGTCTTGTCGTATGAGCTAAACGTTGGCGAGCAGCACCTCTCCGATTGATCTCTCTGCTTCCTTGAAAGCAAGGAAAAGGGAAGAGACACAACCGTTTGAAGACCACTGTCAGAAGTGAAGAAGGGAATATCAGCAGCTCTGTCTAGCGCTACGCCACAAGAAAGGTGAAGCGAAGGATAAAAGAGGGTGGAGAAAATAAAAACGCAAAGCAAAGTTTGAGGAAACCGAAGTGAGGGCAATTTAATTCAGCAAAACAAGAAAAGAAGCGAGAGAAAGATAAGGCGGCGCGGAGTCGAAAATACAACAAAAAGGAAAGAGGGAGACGAAAAAGAGAAGAAAAATGACAAAACAGGAAAGAGAGAGAAAATGAGCAGTTGAAACCTTAGCTTACAAACTCCAAAAGCAGAACGGAAAAGGAAAAAAGAGGGAAATTGAACCGTGAGTCTCGCTATTGTGGTTATCGACGTTAAATACCAATGAGGCTATGTGACCTGACAACCAGCTAACAAACACAAGTAAAAACAAAACTTCAAACAAAAACACGAGAGAAGAAAATATATATATATATATATATACTTTTGTATTACTCTCGATTGAGCGCACACGCACCGCGACAGCAATGCCTGACTAGTTGCTCTTCGACCGTTGAACGCTGATGCCTCAGTGAATAATAATTTTAAAAGACTACAGACCAAAACTATTAATCGCAGCGTCTTCGATTCTTTTCGGTTCGTTTGTTCTTCTTTTATTATTATTCTCAGCAGTAAGCGTGGCTACTGCAACAATCCTGAGACAGAGGAACAGCACAGAGGAGTGGTGTGGATTCAACTGTTCAACCTCCTGCGTCGCTGTCTCTGTCGCGTGTTTGCTTTCAAGCGATGTTTTCCTACGCACGAGAAAGGGCTGCGAAAGCGAACAAATGTGTGAGACGTGATGGCTGCGCGACGAAAAAAAGAACAAGAGTGTCGAGTCACTCGTCGTAGCGCTGAGGGAAACGGATCGCGGTCAGCAAAACAAAACAGTCGCTCTCACACACACACTTCTTTCCTTGCTTTGTGGAGTATGCTCACAACACCTTTTCTGATCCGAAAGAGGGGGGGAAGCAATCTCGCTTCGTTGAAACGCAAAAAGAGAAGACAAAAAAAAAACGGGGGTTGGGAGTGATACTCTCGAAACAGTAAATATTGCAGTATACGTGCTCCGGCGTGCGTTTATGCTTGTGAATTTAGGCACAACTGTAGAAGAAAAAGAGAAAGGAAGACAACACAAGGATTCTGCGTTTGTAAGTGAAAGAATTTGAGAGAGTCAGATGGGAGAGAACGAAAAATAATATAGAAGGAGGTCAAATTAGAAAACGCGCTTCACACGTAAGGCGTCGCCACATCATGAATGAGTTGCTGTGCGTTGGGTAACACTAAAACGTGTAAAGAGGGAGACCCAAAGCCAACAACAACAAAAAAGCGCTCTGATAAGTGCAATAAAAAATGTGGGACATGAAAGCGAATAAAATTTGCTTTCATTCATGAAGGAGCTGCACTCGACAAATGACGAGTTTCTTCTTTTTCTTCTCTTTGTATCCTCCGTTTGTTATCTTCGCACCCTATACAGAGCAAACAACAAGAGACTCGCGTGCGAGAACCTGGTGCAAACAGTGCACGTTCCTTTTATGTGAAAGCCAAATACAGAGAGAAAGGAAAGCCGCAGCTCAAACGCACAGTGAAGGTGACAAGGGCTGCGATGCCAATGAACTCAATGCAGCTGCGTGTTGTGCTGGAACTCCTCACCCCAAAACCGCAGCTCCTCCTCCACGCCTTGCAGGTCGTATTCCCCAGCGGCCTGCTGCAGGTTGCGCGTGTCGTCTAACAGCCGGTTCGACGCCGCGCCCGACGCTGCCGACCCGTCAAAGAGATCCTCGATGCCGTACGTTTCGCGGTACCACGCGTCGTACCGCTCGCTATCTGCCACATAAAAGTCCCTAACGTCGCTGTTGGCATCCATCGCCCTCATCCACGCACGACCGGGTGACGCCGGCACCGCCTTGGGGAGTTGTGCCACGTAGCCTTGCGTCACGGGTTTGGAGAAGAGTTGCGCAACGAGAGAGACACGAAACATCGGGCACAAAAGAACTAGATGGAGCTAGAAGAAGAAAAGAATGCGAAACGGAAGAAGAAAAAACGGCTAGCCCGAATGATCACGCACAGAATGATAGGGCGTTTTTTCTCTGCGCTTCTGAGAGGTAAGACGCGCAGACCTACACATGAGTTCGTTTCTTCACCCGATTCGGAAGTAGAAGAAAAAACAATAGAAATGAGAGCGAAGAGGTTGAACACGCAACGAGCGGGCATAAACACAGCTTACCACCTCCTCGTGGAAAGTAGTCTTTTCTTCTCTGAAGAAATCTCGTGTTTGTTTGTTCTGCATAGTTAACCACCAGCACTAAAGAGGGACAGCATTTCGTTTCTTTTTTTTGCATTGGGGGAGGCGTATACAAGCAACTGCTTCACTGCTTCAGCAATGACAGCTCAAGCGGTGCATCCATGTGCGGGTGTACAGGTACGACATCAGAGTCTGCTGCCATTGTCTGGCATATATAGGTCTGCACGGTTACGTTGAGGACGAACGACGACATTTTCGTCGCCCTTCATCTTCATTTTTCCCCACTTCTTTGTTCCTTGTGCCTTTCTACAGTTCACATGAAGTACCTCAAGCTGCATTTTTCGTGCGGTGAAGCTAGAATTCTTCTCTTCAGAGCTACAAATATATATATATATATATAAGATGCCAACCGTTTTCATAGAGAAATCAAGAAAAAATATATGTCACTGTCAGTCATGGCACGTAGGAATTGAAAGCAATGCGTTAATTGGACAACTATGGTGTTGACGGAACAAATGCGAAAAAGTCACCGAGACGAAGAAAGACATGCGCAAATGCTGTCTGTGGCACGCGTTGTCGTTCTCTTCATCGCGGTTTCCTTTTCGCTCCTGGTATGAGAAGTACGGCGCATTCTGGAGACGAAAAAGTAGCTTGAAAAAAAAAAGTAAACGAAATAGAAAAGACGTGTGATAATGAAGTTGGTAAAAGTAAGGAAAAAGAAACGATGTCTTGCATAGAAGACCTTCTTTTGTCATTAATACTGTGTTCGAGAAGTGCTACTGTCTGGCGTAACTAAGCAGCTCAGGCTGCAGAGAAGAGAAGTCAACGCACGCGCCTGTTCGCTAGGTTTCCCAATCATGCAGCACACTGTCACACGCAGCGTACGTTCAAAATAATCACTTGTGCTTCGCTACATATTTTCACTTTGATGATATTGGAGCAAGCAAAGGCCCGCACCTTCACAGAACGGACGGTGCCCGCGCAACCTTAAAACTTGTACACGCCCTTCTCTGTGTATCCCATCTCCTTCAGGTAGCCGTCCAGCGGACCCTGCTTTGGCGGATGGCTGTTGTAGTCCTTGGAGCCGCAGATCGACTTCATAAACGGCGGCGGTCCGCAAACGAGGATGACAGAGTCGCCCTCGTGCTCCGGGCCGGGCATCGTCTCCTCGATCATCTTCTTATCGATGAAGCCAGTGTAGCCCGTCCAGCGCTTCGGTGCCGTCGTGAGGCAGTAGTAGGTGGCAAACTTGCCAGAAAACTTCTTACCCAGTTCCTCCAGCTCATTGCCGAGCAGTACGTCACCTTCCGTCTTGTTTGAGTAGAGCAGCGAGATCTTCGTCGTGTTGTCTTGGCCGTGGAGGACGTTATTGATCACCTGGTACATCGGGGTGATCCCGGTGCCACCGGCGATCATACCGATCTGGTAATACTGGCTCGGCTTTACCTCGAACGTGTGCCACGGGCCTTTGGCCTCGATGGAGTCACCAGGTTTCATCGAGAAGAGGTGGGATCCCATCTTGGAGTCTGGGTAACACTTCACCACCAAGTCAAAATGACCCTCATCGTTCTCCAGATTGATGGGCGTGTAAGGGCGGGCCACTTCCTGTCCTTTTGCATCCGTGAAGCGCAGCGTGACGCACGACGCAATTGGTAGATCCAATCGCGTCTTATCAGCGGGCAAAGCGAAGCGGAAGCGCTTCGTGTCGTGCGATTCCTCCTCCACACTGATCAGCTTGTACGACTGGAAATCCTTCTGCGAAAACGCGGGTTTGTTGAGAAAGCCCCACGCTTCAACCTTTGAGTGCGACTGGTACAGGCTCGCACCTCCAAATCCAACAACTGCCGCAAGAAAGGACTTCATTGTCAGCTTGCTTCGAGACTCAATGCGGAAGTTCTGCTTCAGGTACAAAAATGTGTTGCCGATATAAAAATTCCGGAGGCGTTTTATGAATCTTCCTCAAAAGAAAAAGGAAGATTGCTAATAACAAGAGAGAGCAAAGCAAAGAGTTGAGATAAACAAAGTTCAGAAAAAAAAGCGAAAGAAGTGGCTGCAATATGCAACAATAATAATGATAAACTGGAGGAAAAAATAGGACAGCTTTTTCCGTTTGAGATGAAGCGAAAGACCTTTCTCATCGTTCAGAAAAAAAAGAGAAAAAAAGAGCAAGGTTTCTTCGAGAGACAATTGTGTTGGAAGTGTTGGGTCCGCTTTTTTTCTTCGCGGAACAGTAGTACGAAAAAAAGGCGACAACATTACAGCACAAATGAAAAGCGTGTTGTTTCATTGCACGAACAGCAGGTAATTGTTGTTCTTGTTCTTGTTGTTATGGTTGCTTTTTACTATTATTCTTTCTGCGTCAATTCATTTCTCCCACAGTCTCAACGCTCAGCCACCCAGTAATGAAAATAACATGCCTAATATATGCCGCGTACACGAAACCCATCGCTGGTTTTCTACTTTTCCGTTTCAAAGGTGCACACGCGCTATAAGCCGTTAAAAAAGGAAACGACCGTAACGGTATACTACAATAGCAAAACACAGAGATGGTACAGCTAGAAAATAGACGTATATTATCAGCCTCATATTGAAATCCCTAAGTACTAAAGCACCAACAGCCTGCGCTACCAATTCGCGCAACGTCATCCCACCGATAAAGTACCATTTTTCACTCAGCCAAATCCCTTTTATCTTTTCAAATACCGCCACGCGCAGTTCTTCTGCTTTTTCCTCTTTCCGTTGCGTGAACGCACAATGAAACTTGATGTCTTACCTTCACGCATCGAATGTGGAAGATAGAATCGCAAAAGAAGAAGCACGTATCGTGCAGGGAGATGATCAAGTGCTAAGGAGTGTACAAGATTCCTTTTCGACCCCCATGCGCTTCATAACATGGAGGAGATATTTTTCTTCTTTTTCAATAAGAGAGATTAAACCTCGCGCGCGTTAAAACTTGAACACCATCTTGGGCATGTAGCCGAGTTCCTTCAAGTAACCTTTCAGTTCACCTTGCGACGGAGGGTAGCTCTTGAAGTCCTTGTCGCCAGAGATGGTCTCCATGAATGGCGGAGGACCGCAGACCAGAATAATGGAGTCGCCAGCACGATTCGGCGCCGGCATCAATGACTTGATCATTTCTTTGTTGATGTATCCAACACCACCCATCCAATCAGAAGGGGCTTTGGAAAGAACGAAGTAAGGAGAGAAGCGGGGGTAAGCTTCCATCAGCTGGTTCAGTTCATTGCCAAAAAGAACATCTTCCTTGCGCTCATTAGCGTACACAAGAGTGATCTCCGTTGTGTTCTTGGGCGCGCGCAAGATGTTCCGCGCAACTTGGTACATCGGCGTGATTCCGGTACCACCGGCCAACATCCCAATTGCCTTGTACTGATTCGACTTGATCGGCAGCTTCACCCACGGTCCTTTCACATCGATACAGTCACCTTTCCTCATCGCAAAAAGATGGCTGCCCATTTTGGAACCTTGGTAATTCTTCACCATCACATCAAAGTAGCCCAGTTGATCGCTACGGTTGAGTGGCGTGTACGGGCGAACCACCTCGGTTCCGTCCTTGTCGACATAGCGGAAACTAACGCAGCTGGCCACCTCCAGATTCAGTGGCATATCAGCCTCGGGTAAGGCGAATCGGAACACCTTAGTGTTGTGAGACTCGTCATAGACATCCAGAAGAGGAAACGAGCGAAACTCCGATTGCGAGAAAGGACTGGTCTGTGTTGTGCAGCTTGTAGAGCTTGTCGTCGCGCTAGTGTACCAGCTTGAGGCTGCAAAGCCAGCTGCAGCGGCGATAAATGCTTTCATCCTCAAAACGGGAAAAGTCAAAAGGTGCCTTAAGAGAGTACGAACAACTCTACGAGACGCAAATATATATAAACTGTTTTCAGAGGAGAAAGGAACAAATTCCTTGAAAACAAGTTATTCTTTTCACAGACGCAAGGTCTTTCAAAATCAATTTATGAATATTGTTAGTATATTGACACAGTTGATTGCATCGAATGCAATTATGGGAAATAGAAAAAATGAAGAGAAGTCAAGAGTTTATTTTGAAGTCAAGAGGAGTGGTTTACAGAGCAGAACGAAGTTTCAAGCATTTGCGTATAAATCAAAGTACCATGTCATAAAAAGCTAAATTCACAAGCCTTTCTTCGTTCCGCTGCGGTGAAACGATAGTGAATACTCACAATCCTCGTAACTTTTCTTGTACACTTGATAACGAGTGATATACATTTTTCTTTTGTCTTCGTTTGTAAACCACACACTTTGTAATGACCAAAAACCCAACTTCCCGTTTTCAAATGTGAATGATGCAACCAACCTTTTTAAGAGGGGGAATGCGTTTTTCTTTTTTTTTTACGTACCTGCAAAGTGCCACTGATCAGAATAAATAGAGTTTTCTTTTTCTTCTTCTTCCGCGAAGGCGATGTGCAGTTCAAATGAATAATAATTAAGTGATAAAATCCGCCTCTTCTTCGTGTCTCGCCTCAAATCCTTATATCTTCCTTTCCACAAGAACCGACGGCGGTAAGTTCGCTTCACTCAGGAGAGCATCCTTCACCTTTTTAGTCAACTCACCCTGTAAGTGAATTTCTAGAGCAATCTTAGTGCCTGATTTGAGTTTTTCCATCCTAGTCGCTGGGTCCACGACGCTACAGCTCGACGCAAATTGTTTTTTCCACCGCTGCGAAAGAAAATTCAAGTCAAACCCAAACGACTCGAGATTCCGTACGATAGTAACAAAAAAATTGCCTTTCACCTTCTGCGACCACAAATGAATTGTGGGGAGACTGCCAGGTCTGAGAACCCGCTTCGAAATCGAACAGTCGCTGGCTGGGGAGGAGCCCTCCACGGCAGTCCGCACGATAATTTCATGCTTGATCCTGAATAAATTCAGCATTTCATTTTCGACACGGTTTAAGGAAAGCTCAGGAGCGTATGCATGCGAGGAAAACATTTTCGACAATACGCCATCGATTTTTACTTTTGGTAAGCTGTTTTTCTGTGCGGCGTTTACAACAAGCAGCGCGTGTGCTCGAATATACTTTTTCAAATTGTCGACCAGCACTTTGCGCGTATACAGCTCGTCGAAAACGCTCGCATCGATTGGAGTTGGCTCATACTTTGGGACCCTGTCAGCCATCACTTGCTCGAGCGTTTGGAAGCGCACGTCTTCCGGAATGTTCAATTCATCTCCAAGTAACAATACGCGAATCAAATCCTCATCGAGATCGCGCGACGCAGTGTAAAACACCCCTGCGGATACAACACTTTGTCGCAAAACTGCTGTGCCGCTTTCAAGCTGTTTTGCCAGTAAATCGTGTTCCTCTTTCTCACGGGCTTCGCGATGGTCTGTTTCAAGAAACGTTTTGTACTTCGCCACGTGCTCGCGCATAACAGGAGCAGATTTGTTGACCGATAAAACGGAGTGAACTCCCGGAGTCACCTCTGCAATTGTCAACAGCTCGGGAAATTTTTGAAAGAATGGAAGGGCGTGTTTGTACTTTGTATCTTTGAATTGAATATGTGCAGCGTGTACGCCGTCGCGCGGAAACGACTGCACAACGAAATTTGTAAACTGCTGTAGCGGCAACGGCAGCATAGAAGGCGACAATTGCTTCACCGCTTCGCACAAGCAAAACGTCAGCACAGAGTCTTCCTCCTCAAAAAGTGCAGGTTCTCCAAAAACCCCTTTAACGTTCGTGGGATTAGTACTGCTGTCGGCTGCAGTGTCATTATCACCCCGAACTTCGACAGTCGCCTCAGCTTGCGGAGCATCCGTTGATTCTCCGACAACTTCTTTTTCGCCGAATTCAACTGGGACCAGAAGTGCGTTGGAGGAAAGGCTGTGCTTGGACAACGGACGACTTTCGTACTCCGCCCACAATTTGTCCCGCAAACACTGAATAATGTAAACGCCCACACCTGAAACGTTTTGTGAAACGAGGTTACTGGTTACGAAGCCCACCGCGTAGGGAGCATCAACCCCATCCGTGAAGACGAGCGCAACCTGTCCTGCGGCAAGAGGCAACTTCGCGTGTACTTTGACAATGCCGGGCATCATCAAATGAGCGCCACTCAGTAAAAACCGTGACGTCGGCCCAAAGCACGTGACAGCAACACCTACTTCCCCAACAAGGTGCGACCATCGTTCTTTCTTTTCCGCCAGCAGTTGGCGCAGTCGAAGAAAGAAAAATACAGTAGGTATGACAGAGTAACCGGGGCATCTGTCCTGCGCAATGCATCCCTGCTCATCTTTCGAGAAGCGATCTACAGAAATAAAACAAGGAGCTTCGTTGACTGAGTAAACAAATGCGGACGCACCAAGGCCGCATTGGTACTTGCTTTCTGTGACAGCGTCTTTTTTGCCGACGATCAAGTCAAATAAATCGTGATTCTCTTTTCCGATAACCTCGAGAACATCGGCTCTCAGCGATTTCACTTTGTTTTTCCCAACTGAGTGAGTTTCCTTTGCAAAGCACTGTCTCCCGAACATGATTGATAGCACAGTAACTTGAAAAAAAGTGCTTGCGGGATTTCAAAAGAATAAGAAGGATAGGAAGCCAAGAGTCGAAGTGATTGCACGGCATTTAGGGAAATACATAACTAGCGAGTACCTGGCATCAATGTCCCCATCAAGGCTACCCATTGTTTCTTCACTATCTAGTATCTGCCCCAATTCCGTTCTTCTTTATCTGTCGTGTTTGTCGTCGGACTTTTTCTCAGAGAGTATCGCATTACGAAGTGCAAGGAAAACAAAACTCATGGATCTTTTTAAGGATCCCATGGGTCCCTGTCGTGGGAGGGACCGGGGGTGGGCGGGTGGATTTCAGCGAAAAACCGGAGTTTCTCTCGATGCTGAAAACAACTGTCCCAGGCAAACCAAAATACGGAAGAACCAGGATTCAGGAGGAAGTAGAAGAGGAGAAGATAGTTTAGAGCATTACCCTAAATGACCGAGATCCGCCAATCTCTCCGCTGCCAATCACATTCAACTCATTTTTTCCGTCCCTTCCATTCCCCTTGCAGACTCACAAAAAGAAAGGAGTTTAATTAAAACGTGTGCGTGCGCACAACAGAGGAGCAGTAGAGGTAAGGCAAACGGAGAATCAAAAAGAAAGCATTAGAATTTAATTAAAAGACATATTTTTCTTTGGTGGATAACCGATAGCAACGCGAAATGCGCTACAACGGTTGGGCTTAGCTGACCACACTGTGTATCTCTAACGTTTTCGTTGCAAAGCAGCTCTACAACGCAACGTAATAAGTTTGGAAACGCAAAACCAAAATCGCAAATGATTCAGCCTTTTGTGAGCTGTTATTTTAATTCTTTGTTGTTGTTCTTTACAATGAAGATCATTACCTAACGAACCACATGGACAAGAAGCGACACGTCGCTCCCATAAACGAATTGTCTTCAACGGAGTTCGCAGTCGCACGTGGAGCCAGATTGCGTTACTATGCACCAGATGCAGTAGGTGTATTGGAATTCGGGCGTAGATGGGTTCCCCTCAACTACCAAACGCACTGTAATGATGACAGCAGCACTTCGACCAGCGCATTCTAAATTCCTTTGTACAGTTCTTGAGTCTGTGGTCGAGAATCTTCCCATCTTCTCTCTCTCCCCCCCCCCTCTCCTTATTTTCTTCCTCTCTGTTCTCTTATCTTGCATCCTCCCAGTAGAAGCGCAGCCAAACGGCGTGTCACACTTACAACTCGGTAGATTTTTATCTCTTTGCAAAACAGATGGACGTGATTTGTCTCGAAACCATAACATTTGTTTGCGCTTGTGGCACACGGTTGACGCGCTGAAGAACCGCGAATGTTCGAGTGCGAGAGAGACTCTAGCGACAAAGGTGCGTAATCTTTTCCACAGCTCAGCCGGTTGCAACCCACGATTTTCCGCGCCTGCGTGTCTCTACGAAACTGACCTACATATGTGGTGAGCTCTTGTTCTCTCGCACGTTGTCATCTCCGATTCGGCGACAAACAAAAGATGTTTTTTCATGTGCACGCCCTTTTATGTTGACTTTAAGAAACATTGGTCTTCTTCGTTTGTGTCGGTTAGAAGGAGAGAACACGAAGATGCAGGGATTAGAGTGTGCTGTCTTCTCGCGCATCAATAACGGGCTTTCTTCTTTCCTACCCAACGCCGAATGCATGCGAGCATGAATTACCTTCGATTTATTCGCGCAACCTGGGCAACGTGAAAGATGATACCAATTTCGTCAAGTATTAACGTATATTCGACCCTGCGTCCCGGATAACAGTCATTGTTTTGTTGCTGTTCTCAACGGTTGGGGCTCATTCTTTTACAAGGATAGCATTGTGCTCCTGGGATTATCTGTAACAGTCAGTTTCTTTTTTGTGCGGTGATGAATATCGTTGGTTTTCTGTGATGAATACTAGTTGCTCTCCTTCAAAATTCAAATGGTCAATCATCCCCTTTTACCTACCCTTTTTGCTTCTTTATTATTACTTGGTGGTTGCAGTCTCTTCTCAACACTATTCGTTTGCTCGTAGGCTTCATCTCACCCAGTAGGTTTGAGACCACGCGTTGCCATTGCCGTTCACCACATACCAGTCTTTCTTTGCGCCATCCTAAGAACGTATTTCATTTTTTTCTTCTACTTACAAGACAACAAGGAGCCGTAATGGAGCGCTCGAAAACAGAAAGCGAACTCCAACAGGAGCGGGCTGACGAGAAATTTGCTCGTCAACTTCAGGAGCAGCTTAACCAGCCTTCGCCTCTACCGGATCCTTCGCTCCCACAGCAGGGAGCTACTGACGCATCGCAGGAAGCTGCCGATGCCGCGTTGGCACGTCAACTGCAGGAGCAAATTAACCGCCAGGAAGCTGCGGAAGAAGCTACTCGTCACCAACACCGGAACTCAGAAGATAAAATTGAAGTCGCATGCCCCGTATGCACATTCGTCAATCACATCAAGTCTTCTAGCTCGGCGAAGCACTGGAGGTGCTCACAGTGCCGTGAACTTCTTCCCAATCCAGCAGCACCGACGGAGCGCAGCTCGCAAAAAGACCTCGTGGAATGTAAGGTGTGCCATTCGCTCAACAGACTTCCAACCATCAAATCTGATGCAATTCTGTGTGGCGGTTGTTACCAAGAACTTGGCTCGTCGCTGAGGGCTCCTGCTCCTACGCTAGAAAGCGAAGAGAATCAACGTACGGTTCAAATGCGATGCGGTCAGTGTAATGTGGTCAACGCAGTGACTGTTGGAGCCGACGTGAAGAAAATGGAGTTTATTTGTGGTGGTTGTGGCGTGTTAAATACCATTGCTCTTGATTAAGAGGTCTCGCATAGTACACCTACTTCGAAGCCCTTTCCTCTTCTGCTGGCAACCAGAAGCTATTCTTTTATTATTATTGTACTGCCTTTTGAATTGTGCTTTTACCTTTTTATGTGAAGGTAAGACACTAAATGAGTGCATTTACTGGAGCGGTTTTTTTTTTTTGGTGATTTCGCGTTTTCCTGTTTTTCTGTTATCACCTTCTGTATCGTTTAGTCTGTGTTTGCGTTTCTTCTAGCTCTGAAAGTATAGGTTTTTCTTTGTAGCTTTTTCTGAGAAAACTGTGTCGGTATCGTGCTCCTAAACTGTATTTGTTGTGCTTGCTACTTTTTAGATTTAAGAAAAAATGTGAGAACGTGCACCATCTAAAGCAGCTGTTTCTCTTTTTCGTTGAAGTCAGGAACAGCCACTGTGATGCCAAGTTTCACATTGAGTGGTTTAACAGTGAATAATTTGCAGTGGCCATGCGCGGTTCTGTGACATGTCTCAAGGATGCATACAGTTTGAGCGTAACGTCAGTTTGTAGCTTAACGAAATGATACGTTTCTTCAATCCAGCGATGCTCACACGGCTCTCCCGCTCTCTTTGGTGAGACTTAATCAAACAATCTGTTGCACAACTTTTCCAAACTCGTCAACTTGCAACTTTACTTTGTTGTGCTTCCTCTCGTTCTTTCATTCTTTTATATATTCCGTTTGTTTTACTATGCAGCCTTAGGTTCTTAAAGTTCAAGACCAACAGCTCTACGTTTTCTTTTTCTTCTTGAAGTACTTTACGACGATCATGAGGCGCGTTGGAGATTACGAAATACTGGACGTTCTGGGTGAAGGCGCGTATAGCAAAGTGAAGCGAGTGCGCCACATACCAACAGGATGCGTTTTCGTAGCTAAAATCATTTCGAAGACCAGCCTGCAGGTAGAGAATGATGTACGTCTCGAAATCTCTATTTTGCGACGGCTGAAACACCGCAACATTGTGCAGCTGATTGAGATCTTAGAGAGTGGCAACAACTACTACATCATTTTGGAACCTGTCATGGGTGGAGATCTGTGCGATGTCATAATGGGAATGGACAGTCCGCTCCCAGAACAGGATGTGGCGGCGCTTCTCATACAATTGGTTGCCGGGATCCACGCGTGTCACCGAAACGGTGTCGCGCATCGTGATCTGAAACCGGAGAACCTTCTTCTTGGCACAGATGGAACGCTCAAGATTTCAGATTTCGGTCTTAGTCGTCTTCATCGCGAAAGTAACTTCAAGGCAAGTACGAACGAGTATGCGCACACACTCACTGGCACCTTGGCTTATGTGGCTCCGGAAGTTTTTGAGGGGTCTTACGACGCTTTCCGTGCTGACATATGGTCACTGGGATGCATTGCGTATGTGCTGTTGACGCAGAACTTCCCGTTTGGACCTACCACCGACCCACATGCGTTGGAGGAACGCATCCGTAACGGAGAACCGTCTGTAATGCCATCGTATGTGAGCGCCGCAGCCACGGACCTGTGCATGTGGCTGCTCTCACCCTCCCCGGAAGATCGACCAACGCTGGATGAAGTTTCTCAGCATGAGTTCTTTAAGAAGAACCTTCCTGGCGAGTATCTTGCAGCAGCCACAAATCGCAAGCCACCAATAGTGCAAGGTGCAAACATGAACGAGTTTAGCTCGCGCGTTGAGGAGACCCATCCAAACAGCATCAGTTACTCCGGCGAAAATCGCGATGCTGCTCTGACAAGTAGTGGAAATCAATTCCGGATGCCCAGTACCGTGCGAACCTCATCGTCGATCCGCGGCGTTTCCGGTGCTGCAACGGGGAGTAGCAGCAGCAGCGATAGCGAGCAAGTCCAACGTTTACCGAGTGATGAGTTCGACTGTTCCACCGACCCAACTTCCTGTTCAGGAAAGGCACGAGGTGACAAATCGGTTGCTTCACTGGCCGTGCATCGCATTCCTCCGGTTGCGCACTGAGTTTCTTTTTCCTCTTGGTGTGGAGTTGTGTTCTTGTCTTTCCCTTTTTTTTTTGGTGTTATACTCCCGCAAGCATCTCAGCAAACTATTGTCTTTTTCTTCTTTTCTCTCTTTGTACGATATATATCTCTCTAGTGGGTTTTACCTGCGTTCGTTACTATGTGTCTTTTTCAATGCTTTCTCCTTTTCTGTTTCTTCAGTCTTTCTATTTTCCTTTTTTGCTCTAATACTAGTATGCTGTTTTCTTTTTCCTGCTAAAGTTGACAACCGCGTTTAGCTACCAGTATGTTTGTTGCTTCCTAAATTGTTTTGTATCATGCAAGCGGAATCACTTTGGTAGCAACGATAGGTGTGACATCAAGCGAAGGATGCACTGGAGGTCAGCTCACATATGACAGAGAGTAGCTGAAGCCAACAGGTCTTGTTCTGCTTTTTTTTTTCCGACTAGCATTTCCTTCTTTGCTTTAGTCCCTTTTCAACACACTGGGTTCACGGAGACCTTCACGTTACTGCTGAATGAGGAATGGGCCCTGATAAAGGACAGCTCATTCAATCGTCTTCAGTGGGAGAGCTTCTCTTGTCTTACACGATAGGTACAACGACTTCGCTTTCGCTTCCTGGCCCTACTTTTCGATCCGTGCTCGACTTCTCGCCAGTATACCAAACTTTGATTTCTGTGCTTGCTGAGAGCGTAATTTCTTCGATAGTCGTTCTGCTCTCGTGAACTTTTCATAAAATAATTAGAAGAAGAGAGTAGGCGGCGGCTAAAAGCAATGCATAACGTTGCGCTGCTCCGAGCAGTGTCAACTGTTCCTCCGGCTTGCATTCACGCGAATGCGCGCACTCGATTGCTGGAGCACACGGGGTGTGAAACGGAGAGTGCTTCACAACGGGTCGAACGCCAGGCTTGCCGTCTGCGCAATGAACTGAGAAAGATGCACAAATTTTTCTCTTCAAGGCTTTCTCTGGGAAGTCACGTCCTCTACCACATCGTTTTTTGAACGATAACGCGTGGCAATAAATCATGAGCAAGAATCTGAGTCGTACGTCAACGCAGCGCACATCAGCTTTGATCGCCTGGCCGTGCTCATTACGGCGATTCGAGGTGTGTCTGGAGGTCGTAGCAAAACTTGTGGTATGACCTCCAGCGGTGCTGGCGGTTGTTTCTTGGAGAAGAAGAGATCTTCTCTCTTCCCCGTTTTGAAAGAATCGCTTGCTGTTATCAAGCAGCGTTCTGAAGCGTGCTGTGGCGTCGTTTGCTGTTTGAATTCTTTGAAACTGCCCAACACGTACACGCATACACGCAGGTTAGCACCTAGGGCTTCCTCTCAACGTAGAAACCCTTTCATTTTTTTGAGTTCATTTGACTTCTTATTGAAGCTTCTGCGACGAGAGTGTACCTTGTGTTTGCACTTCTCACCTTTCTATTCTTTTTTCTGTCCTTTCGTTCTTGTCCTTTTTTCCCATCGTTTGCTGTAGCTAGCGATCAATATACATCATCTTCGTTTTTCTCGTTTCTCTTCGCAATTCCTTCACGTTTTTCTCCCCCCTTTTGTGTGTGTCATCTGTTTTTGTTGAAAAGCCAAACAGGAGGCACCTGTTTTTCTTGATACCTAGTTTCGGCAGTCGTTGAAGTTGTGCAATGCGTCGTTAACAACCAATTTCTTTTCTCCTTTTCAGAACGTAATTTACTTGCGGATATCGAGCTCGCAGCAACCTCCCAGAATCCTGTTTCAAAAAAAAAGTGAGAGCAAGCGGACAAATACTTTAAAAAGGGTAAGCGTTCTTCAATGCTCTTCAATACTCTCCAAATTCTTCTATTGATTCATTGGCTTTTGTTTTTTACCTTCTTCGCTTTAAACCCTCATCGGTGTTTTGTGTGCCGGCCTGTTGCTTCTTGTCAAGAGTTTCTCCTGATCCCTCAGCTTTTTTCGTCGACTTTTTTTGATGCTTCCTTGTTCCAACGACACGGTTCATGGCTAGCGAGGAGGATTGCAGAAGGAACAGTATAAAGGGAAAGCGCGAGTTGCTCTTCAAACACGGCAGTCGGGAGAGATTGCTTGATAATAAGTGAGCAACGCTGGCTAGTTCAGCGAGCCACGCGAGCGCTTCGATCAGCCAGCAGAGAAGAGCAAGACACAACAATGCACATCCGTATTTAGCTTCTCGTCTTTAAAAAAGATTTTCTCCTTTTTCTCACACTGTGCCATTGGTGATACCTGTGTTGCGTTGTGAAGGCAAACGGAGTCGAGCAACGTTACGTTGAGCTCGCACAGTCGCGGAACCTCCTTGATTTCGTGTTAGCGTGTTCTGCGTCGCGTTCTTTCCCACTTTTTCCGTTTCAAATGCAATAGAGATTTCTCTTCCTTGTTCCCCCCCCCCCTATTGTCCCGGTGCGTGGTTGTTGACTGATTCATACAAATGTACATATACGCTTCCAGTCTTCCAATTTTCCACCGTGCTGTTCTGACCGGCGCCTTTTCATTCAATGACGTCAAAAAAAGAAAGAAAAATCGCTGCTCCTCTCTTCTCTGGTCGAACTCGTTGCATCGAATGATGCGTTTACTTACCCCGCCCTTTTTTCTCCTCTACCACTGTTTAAACAAACGTAAAGATTGCTCGTTCTTTTCCTTTACTCCTTTAGCATGTCTCCCACGAAATTAAAACACGAAAACACCCAGCAGAAGGTTTTATTTTCCTTTGCGCTACCGCTCATGGCTGCCAGCTTTCAACAAACGCTAATGGCAGATGGGCGGCTGCATTCCCAATCTTTTTGTATGTTTGTTCTTCACCATTTCATCATATTCGTCTGATCTATAACACAGTCGACAGAATCCCGACGACTACACGAAGCTAATCCCAGTATCAATGTAGACTTTGATCAATGAGAGCCACTGCGCAGAGTGAGCACCTTTGTCTAGTCACGAGTGGAAACACTTCTGCCCATTCAGCGGCGTCTTGACGTATTTGCAAGGCGTATAGACTGCAGTGTGGTTGAATGTGTCTTGATCAGCTCTTGATCGCTTTCACTGTGGTAATCAATCTGACTAAATCCTTTTTTTTTGTGAGCCTGCGAGGGGAATGGAAGGGACGGAAAAAATGAGTTGAATGTGATTGGCAGCGGAGAGATTGGCGGATCTCGGTCATTTAGGGTAATGCTCTAAACTATCTTCTCCTTTTCTATTACCTCCTGAATCCTGGTTCTTCCGTATTTTGGTTTGCCTGGCACAGTTGTTTTCAGCATCGAGAGAAACTCCGGTTTTTCGCTGAAAACTCCCTTCTCAGAGTTTTATTCGCAAGTTTTTTACATATTCATCGCCAGTTTTTTTTTCTTATAATCATCGCCAGTTGTTTCATAAGTTTAAAAAAAAAAAAATAATTAAAAAATTAGTAGATCCATGAATATATTAAAACCCTTTTAGGTAGTTTCCCTCAATATGGCGCTTATACCCATCGATCCGTCCAAGTGGAACTTGGTTTGCACGGATTAATATGAGAACCTTCCCGAGCAGGGCGAATGCGAGTTGACTCTGCAGATCGTGGGCCCGAACGGATCGGATTCTCGGCCTGTGACTTTCCGAGTCAGGCGGGAGAATACTTCTCTGATCCTCAGGGATGGATACGAGACGTTCGATTGGCACACGTTCCTCCATCACGTTGAGCGTTTCCGCATCGAGACCCGCGACCTCTATGAGAGGTTGATCCAAAAGACGGAGCTGGCGGGGTACTACATGGGGATGGCACAGTCCGCCACGGCTGTGGACACAGTCCGCCTGCAGTCGGACATCTCCCTACTGCGGGAGCAGGCGGCTTCGGAGGTTGCAGGTGCACGCCATGAGGCAGCGATGCACAACCAGTTGATAGCCTCTGGCATGCAGGGGGAAGTGGCGTTGTTGCAAGAAAAGCTTCGCCAGATGGAAGACCGCATGAGGAGTCTGGAGCGCTACGTCGGGAAGCAGGACGACAAACGGCAAGCGCAAGAAGAGAAACGGCACGAGCTGGAACTGCAACTCCTCCGCGAACGGGGGGAGTACCAGGAAAGCGTGAGGATGTTGAAAGCATCCGTTGTTGACCTGGAATCGCAAGTGGTGGCTTCGTTCGAGAAGAAGTATCGAGACCTCAGCATGGAGTGCAACCAGAAGATCGAAAAAGAACGCGAGCGGGTTGATCGGGCCGTCGCCAGGGTGTCCGAGGTCGAGAACGCCGTCGCACAGGCTTCTCTCATGGAAGCAGTGCTAAAAGAGGTCTCGGAGAAGCTCACCACAGCGGGGTCTGAAGGAAACGGGGCCCAGATGGCACAGCTTCTGACGGAGGTTGCTCGAATGGGCTCCACTGCTGCAGAGGTGTAGGCGCTTCGCGACCAGCTCAACGAGATCGCTGGGCGCCAGGACCTCGGCGACTTTCGCGGTCGTGGTCTAGTCGCGTCCAACGAGCGGATAGAACGACAGCAAGCCACTCTGAAGGAATCAATCGCTCAGTTGGAGCGAAAAGTGGTTCTTGTCGACAAGGCCCCTACATGGGAGACCGAACACGACAACGGGGAAGACGGGCCTGGGGCGCCAACACAAAAGTCTCGGTTGACTTTTTTAGACGACGCCGAGTCAGTGGCTGAGTCGCTGAAGGTGGAGTTCGACCCAATGGACGTCTGCACCTGGCGTCCTTGGTTCCGTGGGAAGACTCCCTACGAGATTGAGAAGCAGCTGAAGCACATTTTTCTTCGCGGCGAGGCACCCCGCACTGCGCCAGTGAATGATGCCTTCCAGGCGGTCCTGCGGTGGCTGTTGGCGGCGGAGGCCGACCCGCGGTATTGGGCTGACCACCAGGGCACTGGGCGCAGGATGGGTTTGACGTTGTTTTACAGGGTCAATGGATCCTCGTACAAGATGACGGAGACTGAGTTTCTGCAGGCGTGCGAGGAGAACTCGTACAATTTCGACCCGCTCCTCAAAGTTCTACGTTTGTCTGGCAAGAAGGACGCCTACAAGACAACAGGGTCTTCTGCCCCCGCGTCTTCTGTCGTGTGTTACAACTGCGGAAAGACGGGTCACAAATCCGCGATTTGTCCGCAACCATCCCGGTACAGGAAAGGAGAGCCCAAGGCCATCATGGAGCGTCCTATGAGCCGTACTTCCTCGTCCGGCACAAAAAACGGGAGGGCGGGGTCTGCGGTATGACTCCCGGCCCCGCGAAAGGCAGCGGCGGAGGTAGGAAACTGGTCGACGGACCCCGCGAGCTTGGAGAAGGTGAGTCGACCACAGGTTCGGCGACCGACATTGGTGGAGATTGCAAAGTTGGTGCCGCACACAAATTTCGGAGGGGTGGCAAGTCGACCGCACTCGTCACTACCGCCGGGAACGTCGGTAAACGATCATCGAATGTTTTGGGACGGGTTGGAGGCGGTGCCCCCTCACCTGTCGGCTCTGAGGAGCCAGGTCAACGAAGTGGCGGCAGACATGTACGAGCCGACCACATGGGAGCAGCGCACATCACTGCTCAGAGGCTTTCAGTCGTTTTGCCTCGAAGCCGGACTGCCGCTCAACCTCGACGCGGTGCCGGTTTTCCTGGAGTCGAAGGAGCTCAAGTACTCTACCAAGGTGCAGTACGGCACCACACTGAAGTCCCTGCTCACGAGGGAGATAGCGGTGGTAGACGCGTACCTGGCGGGATGCCGGAAGCGCGAGGCAAAGGAGGAGGTGCGTCAGGCAGCACCGATCACACCAGCGGACATGCGGGCCCTGGTGGAAGGGGCCCCTTCGTGGGCCGACGCCACTGTGATGCAGTTGGCATGGATGACCGCGTCGCGGTGGGGGGAGGTGAAGGATCTCCGAGGGGAGAACCTGCTGCCACAACCGGACGGGTCGGTGATTTTGGACTGGGCAGCCATTCCAAAAACGGCAAAGATCAATCCATACCGCGCACATCGGTATGTGAAGTTGCAGGGTCCCATGGCCCAGGAGCTGCGAAAGTTGAAGGCTCAGGTCGGGGAGAGCGGCAAGCTGACTGGGCTCACGACGACACAAATCGCACAGCGTCTGCGCGAGCGCGGATACTCAGCACACTCCATCAAGCGAGGAGCTCTTCAGTCAGCGGCACAGCTGGCCCAAGAGCACGCACTTCCCCCACGCTCGGTGGTGGCTCTCGCGAAGCACGCAGACCCTCTGGATATACCGACGACGACGGTTCGCTACATGGGCCCAAAAACCACGGAACTCACGAATTCTCACGTGCTGCCGGGTTTACTCGACCGTTTGGTTTTTCGGAAGTGAGTCAGGCACCTTGGATGGAACCAGAGCGGCGCGTTGCTTTTGGAGGGCACACGGTCCTCCGCCGAGCCAACAAAAGTCGTGTTGCGAGTGAGGAGGAGCAACGTTCTCTCCCCCTCCAGAACGTGGACGTGCAGCCGCTGAACGTCGAAATCTTGCGGTCACGCATGAAGGCGTCGGCCAAGGCGCGGTTTGACGAGTTATGGCGTTTACTGTCATCGCCGGAACAGCTCGATCCAGGAACGTCACCGCTCAGGACGATTTTTGAAGGTGATGCCCGAGTCCTCATGTCGGCAGGCGTCTTGGTGCCGGCGTCTCCGAGACCTACGCGGGGTTGGTTCGTTCCTTTCTCGGTTGTGGAGGAGAAACCTTCGGGGCTACGTAGGAGGTTTATCGCGTGGCCGAAAGAGAAGAACCTGGAGGACTCCTACGAGGCTGACGTGCCGTTGGGTCACATTTCCGCATACCTCGACGTTGTGTGGGAGGAAGGCGCATCCAATTTGGACCTGAAAGCCTCGTTTTACCAGGTACCGCTGCCTGAGGAGGCGCGTTCGGCTTTTCGTTGCCGCCTCGACGACGGCACCCTCGTTGAGCTGGCGCGGCTGCCGATGGGGTATGCTGCGAGTCCGGAGCTTATGCAGTTGTTAACGTCGGCGTTGGCAGGAGTACCCACTGTGGTCGATGCCGCCTTCGCCTGCCCAACGGCATTGAAAATCCACGTCTGGATAGACAATGTGAGAATTGCTGGTCCCCTGAAGGCCGTGGAGGCCTGGACGCGGCGTGTGACACAGTTCGCGCGGGACGCCAGCGTCACGATTGGTGAGTCGGAGGTTGCGGTTGCGTCATATACATTCGTCGGGGTGTTTTTTGATCACGCAACTCATACTGTACGTTTAGGTGAAAAGACATGGCGCCATCTGCGGGAGACCCCTCCTTTCGAGGAGATGACGGTGGGTGATTTGGAGGTCTTTACATCCCGCGCCATCTATGGCGCGGCGGTGCTGGGCGTCCGCCTGTTTCGTAACTACATGTTTCTGAAGTTTGTGAGACGCCAGCTGAGCTCCCTCAATAGAGGTAAGATCACCACCAGGAGCAAGATCACCATGACGCCCTACATCCGGGGTTTTCGCGTCTGATTTGTTGGAGGTCTTGCACCGAAACGAGGCGCGTCTCGTGCATCGGCCGGGGGGTGAGCCGACAGCCACATTGGTGACGGATGCTTCGCTCCAGGGTTGGGGGGCGGTTCTTTTTCTGGGCGCCGGTCCAGTATTCATCACGGGGGCTCGGTGGGATTCTTCACCGCGGATGATCATGCAGGCTGAGGCGCGTGCGGTGCACCTGGGGCTGCTGGCTTTTCGAGAGCGCCTACCGAGACGATTGTTTGTATTGATCGACAACACATCAGTTCTGGGGGCGGTGCGACGCGGAATTTCGAAATCGGGAGCGCTTGCGGCCGAGCTACAGCAGGTGGACCAACTTCTCCGCGACGAGGGGATACACGTGGTTTTCCGGTACATTCGGTCTGAGGACAACGTCGCGGATTTTCCCTCACGCGAACGCGACATTCCCACGACGGCTTTGGCGAAGGGGTATAACTTGCGAAGGGGAGACAGGGACCCATGGGATCCTTAAAAAGA